AAAAAAAAATCAGGTGTTTGCATTCACCTCATTAATACCAAATAATCACCAGTATCGCATTCACATGTTAACAGCTGCTCCGTTTTTGTTGTTTGCAGGGAACTTTGCCATCACAAACCAGCGGACCATGCTGAGGGACCAAATGACTGTGTGCACTTTTCTGTACACCCACTAACTTATTAAAGGCTTTTAAATCTTGTAATTTGCTTGTTTTTTATGAGTCTATTATTAAGCTATAAAAATGAACTTAATTTAGTTAAGCTCATATTGTTCTTGTTGTCCCTCTGTCCATTTCCCACCATCAGTGTATCCTGCCTCATCAGCAGGAAAAGCCCCATAAATCAGTCCGTTCATTTTGGATCTTTTGGAAGCTTCTTTCTTTGGGACTGTGTACAATTACCTCTCTGATCTTGATTTGCGAACTAAACCTAAAAAGCCTTTTAAAATTCTCGTTGGCATAATGGGCCAGAGTGAAGGCCAGTGTGATATAGCTATGAAATGGTGGCTATAAAATCCACCATAGAAAGCAGCGGGCGGAGGTGTGGCCTTTTGTTAGTAGAAGACTGTTTCCACCGGTTACATTTCCCTGTATAGTTGATTTGCAAAAAAAAAAAAAAAAAAGGGCAAAAAATCTTAACTTTTCGGGGTGCGTACGTTTCACGGTGTGCACAAACGACCCGTCGTTGTAGCTGTGGAAGCTGCACCACTTTGACAAGCAAAGCCCAGCAGCATGCAGGTCAGTATTGGAGAGTCCCGACAAAAGGGCCTGCCTCTTATAGGATATGCAAGCTGTGGAAGCTTTTGTGGGGTGTGATAAAAAGAGCATAAACTTTCTCTTTCTTTTGCTATAAACCCTTAACTTTTACTTTGAATTTCTATCAAAGTGCAAACAGAATTCTAAAAAGTGTCATTGCAGCATTTTGTATTAAGTTATAGCTTTTGTATAACATAACTATAAATAGTAAAAGATTGATGATAAGAATGTATATTAATGTAACAGGTTTTTATATTATATTTGTACATATTCAGATTATTATATGAATTCAAGTATCGAGAAACGTTTGTCTAAGCTTATTCTCTGATCACTGTTCAGCTGAATCATAATGTAACAATACAGTGCTTCTGAATGAAACTGAGTGTTTGACTGTTTCAGTAAAAGATAATTCAGCCCCTACAGATTGATGAGTTTACAGGCATACCGCACTGAGTTGAGGAGTCTTGTGCCTCCCGTGAGAGGAAGTGACTCACCGAGGCCAATGAGCCCACAGCTTCCTCTCAGAGAAGAAAGGCCCGTTTTAGGCACACATGAATGGGAAGCTCTTTTTCAACATTGAAATAAAAACATAGACTGGGCCAAAATGTTCCAGTTGGCTGTTTTTTTCTGCCCGTGTGCAGGTCGGCTGTTAAAAATGCAAATATATGAAAATGATTCGTCCAAAAAGAAAAATCAGTCTGAGCCAGCAGCGTAATCATGACGGTGGGAGAGGAGCATGAAAATCATTTAGTGAACAAGCCACAACCATAAAGAGGACCTGCTTTGTGTTAAGCAAATCCGTGTGTGGTGCTCTGAGGGAACGGGACAGCAGAGTTCTCAGGGCACACATGCGTTCTTGTGTCATGGCTGAAATTTTTTTTTCCCGCTCCTTCCACAGATGCAGACTTGGACTGAGATCAGGGGAATTTAGAGGCCTTAGAGCCTTTTTCTCTTGGTTGATGATTTCCACTGAAAAACCTGACGTGTGACTCGTTATTGTTGTTGAAGGGGCCACTGTCTAGGTAACACTGAGAGGTGGGATTTGGGGTTGTGTGACACCAGAATCATGGTTTTCCTGCAGAACCATGAGGGTCATTAAGTTTTCCTTTCTGGGGGCCGAGTTAGGCAGCGTCATATTTTTAGGAGCTTCTCAGTCTGTGTGGGCATGTGTGCACCACCTCATGACGTCTTTCTGTTTGCTCACTCGCTTCAATATGAACATATCAGGAATTTGCTGTGTCATCATGATGTTCCCATTTCTGCACTTTGGTTTAAGGCCAGATGTCTCTTCATTTTCAGAGGCATTCAGCTCAGAGCAAACAGCGAAGAAGGACAGCTGCGTTTTGACCACCTGACTGTAACCTGACACCACCCAACACATCTCACGATTTATAGCAGACAGAACACTCTCTTAGGCACTTCGGATCATTTCATGCTATAAACGGCGTTCAGGAAACCGCACACAGACGCGTTTCAGCCCTAAACGGCCTCATTTCCAGTCCGCATTTGAACTTATTGCTTATTGTTTTCAGCGAGAAAGTGAAACCAATGTTCTCCCCCTTTTCTCAGCTGTCAAAGGAGGGTAACAAACAGCAGTATTTTGGCAGTCACCTAGCAACAGAAAAGGTCGAAATATTCGTCATGCAAAGGCGTGGTGCTCGGCTTCGGGAGGGGGGGGGGGGGGGGGGGGGGAGAGTGCGGGGG